TGACAGAGAGAGAGACAGCGAGAGCAGGAACACAAGCAGGGGGAGTGGGAGAGGGAGAAGCAGGCTTCCCGCCGAGCAGGGAGCCCGATGCGGGGCTCCAACCCAGGACCCTGGGATCATGACCTGAGCTGAAGGCAGACGCCCAACAACTGAGCCACCCAGGCGCCCCACTTTTCAGCTTTCTGTCCTCACTATCGCAGTAGGTAGATATGGGGGAGAAAAATGGGCTGTTTTCCACAGTAGGTCAGTAGCAGCCCTCAAGAGAATGCAAGTAGGAATATAAAACACCTGACCAGGAAGGAATTCCAGGTTCACCTCCAGGACCCTCACAGTTCTCATGAGGAAACCAAGGTTCCCAGAGACAAAAGAATCACTTTTAGCTTCCATGGCCATTTCCTAGCGAGTCTTATCCAGCCTAACTAGAACCAAGCGAGAAGAAGGAAACGCACATGTGGGTGACTCCGTGGCGGGGTGGGTTGCAAGCCATTTTGAGGTGATGGTGAAGCAAAGCCTGCAGCGGGAGCCTGCCTTTCTAGTGCGACCTGAACCAGGGGACAGGAACAGTCTTGAACAGGAGAAGCCCTGAAAGTTGAATTTACTACGGCTGCAAGTAGGTCTTGTTCCAAGTCAGCCCTATGGGTACGTACTATTCTAAACACTACATATTTTAACCTCCCGCAAGCCTCACAGCAAGGGAGGGAGACACAATTACTATCTCCGTGTTACAAGCGAGGAAATGAAAGCACAAGTTCATTGCTGTCCTAACACTCTGCCTCCGAACCAAGAATATAGTTCAAAAGAGGAAAAGTGATCTACAGGAAGACATCCACGACATGGTTGCTTCTAAGAAGAAGAAGCTGAACATGAGCTAAACATCTAACCATTGAAGAGTGATTAGCTCCACAGAGTACAGATCAGTGGAATACAATTCGACCTATTAAAACGATCACTGTAATAAACCAGTTGCGGTGTGGAAAGTCGTTCGTGACATACGTGGGGAATGGTGCAATGCTATGTACCTGTCTCTGCTGTGGTTTAGATAGCCATGCCTAGAAGAGAACTTGGGAGAATGGAAAGGTAATGTATTCAAATGGGACACGTGATGTCCTTTGGATTTTTTTTTTTTTTTTCGATCATCACACTACTGCTTGTGCAATGAATGAAAAAATTTTCTCCTTCATCTTTGTAATTCTATAACCAGTTGTTGGTGGCCTAGCAAAGATTTCTGATAACTTTATGTTCTCTCCACCCCCCAGTTATCTAAGATTTCCTACTTTATTGTTCCTCCTGTTTTGTAGGCCTTTGATATAAAGTAGGTGAGAAACGATAGAAGGAATAATAAGTGACCGTGTTCAGATAAAATAATAATAAAGCTTTATCTTGAAAGTTGCCAAGTAAGTTATTACCTAGTTCTGGTACATATTTGATATGCAAACAAATATATAGAAAACACTACTTGTAGCTTACTAGCTCATACCGCATATCCCTTTTCACAGTTGTTTTTTTAAGATTTTATTTATTTGTCAGAGAGAGAGAGAGCACAAGCAGGAGGAGCGGCAGGCAGAGGGAGAAGCAGGCTCTGCTGAGCAAGGAGCCTGATGCAGGACTCGATCCCAGGACCCTGGGATCACGACCTGAGCCGAAGGCAGACGCTTAACCGACTGAGCCACCCAGGCGCCCCTTTTTTCACAGTTTATAGACCAGACAGGAAGGTTACCTGTTCTAAATCATATGGGAAGGTGTGAATGCAAGCTGGTGCAGCCACTCTGGAAAACAGTATGGAGGTTCCTCAAAAAGTTGCAAATAGAGCTACCCTACGACCCAGCAATTGTACTACTGGGTATTTACCCCAGAGATACAAATATCGTGATCCAAAGGGGCACGTGCACCCCAATGTTTATAGCAGCAATGTCCACAATAGCCAAACTGTGGAAAGAGCCCAG